CTTTTACGGAGTCGCGGGGTACACGTTTTATTTCATCACAGTCCTGGGGCTGATCATCCTTCGCGTGCGCGAGCCGCAGCTGGACCGCCCATACAAGACGTGGATCACCACGCCCATCATCTTTTGCTGCGTCTCCCTGTTCTTGCTGAGCCGCGCCGTGTTTGCGCAGCCGCTACAGACCGTGACGGTGGTGATGTTCGTCGTTGCCGGCGTGCCCGTCTACTTTTGGCGCATCCGCGGACGGGACCAGCAGGTCATCAAGCGTGAAACGAGGCATCGTTCGGAGAACGACGAGCGTCCGTGGTGGCAATTTTGGAAGAGGTCATGAAGAAGAGAAGCGGTTGCAATAATGCTTGCTTTCGGCTAGGGGTGTGTGTGTGTGTGTGTGTGTGTGGCCTTGCTTCAAGCGGCTTTGGGTAATCATTCAGCGGCATTGCCTCTTTGCGCATCACCTTTTCAGGAGCATTGGGATCCCGAACTCAGGAGTTTGGAGGCAAACTTTTTTTGTATTTCTTTTTTGGACAAACTCGCACTAGACCCAGAAATGGCTGACGGTGGTAAACCGGGCCGGGTTGACTGGCGCCGGAGCAAGACACGGATAAGGAGGCAAAATGGATTGCGCGATTAGGACCGCGGCCAAGAAGAAGGAGAAGATGAAGATGAAGAAGAAGAAGAATCAAACCCAGCAGCATCAACGACAATAGTGATGAGAGACCCATGTAGGAGTCAAGAACGGGGCTCACGAAGACGTTGGATAGGCCTGATGGCCCCGGGGACGACAGTGGACGACGACGATGACGACGATAGTATGTAGACAGGCCAGCTTGTGCTATCCCCCCCTTGTAATAGAAGAAGTGCACACGCCTACGGGGCTGGCGTACGTTCCTCGGCAGCTCATGGCTTTGCTCTCCGAAGCAGCGTTGACTCAAGGCTCGACCGGGGCCGGACGAATACTTTCGGGGGGGGGGGGCACTATCAAGAAAGAAAGAAGAAAAGCAACATTTTGCGTGTTTCCCGAACCTAGCGAAGCTGTCACGACCATCATGTAAATAGGGTTTCACCGAGGTCGTGTGTGGAATGTATGCATCGCATCAGATAACATTTCTATGTACAGTAACCTAGATTCGACTTCGGATACCCCAGAAGTGCAAATGCAGATGGATGCCAATGCTCGGAAGCACCCATAAAATAACAATAAAAATTCAACGCTAAATCGTTACATTTACTAAACATCTCAGACGCCGCCCCTTTCTTGGGGGTACTACGTCATCCGTCGTTTATTTCTTCTCGCGCTGGCCGTAGGCTTTGGTGGCGTAGTCACCCTTGTGGACGATGAGGTCCTCGGGCTTGTAGTCCTCACGGCCGCTCAGGTAGCTGTCGATGATGGCCTTGGTGCCGTCGGCGTAGCGCTTCTGGGCGTCGAGGGAGGTGCCGGACATGTGGGGGACCATGGCGTTGCCGCCGCCGAAGGGGTTCTTGGCGGTGCGCAGAGGGTGGTCGGCAGGGGCGGGCTGGGGGAACCAGACGTCGCCACCGTAGCCGGCAAGGTGGCCGGACTTGAGGGCCTCTGCGACATCTTCCTTGACGACAATGGCGCCGCGGGCGGTGTTGATGAGGTAAGAGCCCTTCTTCATCTTGGAGATGAGGTCCTTGTTGAAGAGACCGCGCGTCTTCTCGTGCAGGGGAGCGTTGATGGTGACGACGTCGCACTGAGCAAGCATCTCCTCGAGGTTCTCGACACGGCGGCAACCAATCTCCTTCTCCTTCTCGGGAGACAGGGGCTGGTAGTCGTAGTAGAGGAGCTCCTTGCAGTCAAAGGCCTTGAGGCGACGCAGGACACGCTCACCAATGCGGCCAATGGCAACGGTACCGACGGTCTTGCCCTCGAGATCGTACTCCTGCTTGGCAACGGCGGCGACGTTCCAGTCGCCGCGCTCAATCTGCTCATGTGCGGGGACGAAGTTGCGGATGAGGACGAGGATGGTCATGACAACGTGCTCGGCGACGGAGACGACGTTGGAGCCGGTGACCTCGGCAACGGTGATACCACCGTTGGTCTTGTTGGCGGCGTTCAGGTCGACATGGTCGGAGCCGATACCAGCAGTGACGGCAAGCTTCAGCTTCTTGGCCTTGGCGAGACGCTCAGCGGTGAGGTAGCCGGGGTGGAAGCTTGGGATGGTGTAAGTCTGTGATGGCACCTTAAAAGCTCGGGTAGGCCAACTTACGGAGTCGTAATGATAATCTCGGCGTCTACGAGCTCCTGGTCGAACTTTGAGTTCTCGCCTTCCTTGTCGGAGGTGGTCACCAGGGTGTGGCCCTGGTCCTCAAGCCACTTTCGGATGCCAAGCTCGTTCTCGGTGGTGCCCAAGAGGCCGGGGACCTGTTTTGGGTGCGATGGTCAGCCAAGGCCAGCTCCAGGGATGGGATGCCACGCATGCACCCCGCATTTGGCAATTTCAGAGGCATAGGTAGGTATCGTATCGCCAACGGTTGGTTGGGGGAAGATGCCGATGTATCAGCGATCGAGCCCCGAGCCCCGCACCTTCCCGTCACCCCCGCACTGCACTACCTCTAGCTCTCCATACTAGGCAAGGTAGCATACCTAGTAGGGTCGCGGCGGGGTATAGCTTCGCGGGAGCTATCATAGTGACGTTCTAGGGTGGGGTTGCGCAACGGCTGTGATGCACTGGAGAACAGGGAATGGACACTTACGTCTTTGGCGTGCTGGCCGCCGTCGTAGAGTACTGCAAGGACCTTGACCTGGTTTTGGCGAGTAGTTGTTAGTGTGCGGATTGAATTGAGGTGGCCGGGCATCCTGCGAGGAAGAGTCGTCGAAGATACAGCAGGCCGGCTAAATGCAGGTCTTGAGAGCAACGATGCCTTTGAGGACGACGTATGAAGTCCTCGAGAGACGGAAGAAGCAACTGAGCGGATGTTACGGGAGAGCAATACCATTGTGACGTTTTATATGTGTATAAGACAAAAGTTATCGAAGGAAGAGGGAGGCAGGCTGTCGAGCTGGAGCGGAGGGAGGTTGTTATATAGTAGCAATCTGGGAGATACGAGAGATCGGGTTCTAAAGATACTATGTGAGAGTACTGAGATGATTGTATGAGATCAGAATGAGGACAGAGCAAGAAACAACCGGCCGGGGCACGATATAGGTATTTATGTTTGCAAGCACGGCCGGCAAAACCGGGATACAGTTTAGGTGCGGGAAACGAAACCCAGACAAGCAAGTGGTGGTGGGTAGCAGAAGGAGGCAAGAGAATCCGACAAAGTCTCGCCGGTGCATGCTACGTAGGTAGGTAGGTAGGTACTGTACGCCTTGCCTTGCCTTGGTCTGGTCTGTTCCGGACTGGCTCAGTGGACGGACATGGAACGGTTGCCTCGCCTCTCTCTCCCCTTCGTCTCTCATGCCTCATCCCCGCTGCGGTTTGCCTTCATCCTCCATCTCCACCTCCCCGAGATACCAAGCGTCCATGCCCCTCCTTTCCAGAGTATCTCCTGGGCCAGTCGGCTGTCGGAAAGACATCGGAGGCTTGGAGGGAAGAGTGACAGCGTCTGGTATCTTGGGTATGGTAAGATCAGCCCCTGCAGAGCACGCAGCTACCTACCTAGGTATGTACCTAGTAATAGGTACCTAGGTAGGTTAGGTTAGGTAGGTAGTTCACGATACGGACAACATGGTTGGTACCTGTACGTTCATACCAGCCACAAGTTGGCGGCATCGATGTACGGCTGCTACGACTCGGCATCTCCAAGTTAATACCCACCCACCTACCTACCTACCTAGTGTTCGTTCTCTCTATGGGGGAAGCTCTCGCGCGCCCCATCATTGATTGGATGGTGGGGCGCCCTCCCTCCCTCCCTGCTGTTTCCGTTGGCAGTGAAACGCCGCAACCCTCGGCAAAATCTTGTGTTCATCTCCAACGCTACCTATGTACCTAGGTAGTGTACGATGTAGGTATGTACGGAGTATCTGCAGCTTACTACGCGACCAGCTGAACAGTCCTCCGCTTCAACAAAGTCGACTGGCTGGCTGGCCGGCCGGATCGCGTCCGTCAGACCACGCAATGCAATGCAGCATCCAGCAACGCTCCCATCTACCCGTATCCTATCAACGTCGACACCCGAGTACCTAGTAAAAAATGAGGGGTAATGACCTTCCATGCTTGCAGTGTAGGTAGCATACGTGCGCTGTTCCATCCAATACACTTTTGTTCCATCACCTAATTGTTTTGAGACTCCTCCAATCCTTGTCCGCTGTTGTCCGCCACCGCCATCGTCTTTTCGGTTAACCAAATACACCAGCGCCGCGCTGTCCCTCGTCGACTGCTACCTACCTACCTTGCAGCTCCCTCCCTCGGTCCCAACTGCGGAGAATACAATGCCTAGGCGCTTCCGGCTGCGCGCTAGGACGATGCGCAAACCAGCCCGCGTGCGTTGGTCCTACATACCTGCTTACCTAGTTTGGACGGGGATCTGTCGTCAAGCTCGACGGATGCTGAGGAGAGCCCCCCCCGCGGTGCCCCTCCGGCGATGCTTCGGCGTTCCGTCGGGTTTTGGCGTGAGGGGTTCAGCTTTCGACAACGCTTGCCTCGCACCGCGCATATTTTGGAACCTTGGGAGCCACCCAGCAGGGCGGTGCATCGTCGGCGTCGTTCATGTCCGTCCTCTGCGCTCGGCACGAATCTCGGGGTTTCATTGCTCTTTATGATACTGACGAACCCGGAAACCCGTCGATAGTGGAATCCGACACTGGGCTACAGCATCAGTATGATGGAGTGAACGTGTCGGGGCATCCATCGTGTTATCAACTGGATATGCCGTCATCGAGACGGTATGTGTTATGGGCCGCCTCCGTCCTTGTGCTTGCGGCCCCGTCGGGTGGTCCTCGGTCCACAGTTGCGGAACATCTGGCCCATCCCATCGCGGGGGGCGAGTCTGTCTGTCTGTCTGTCGAATAACAGCAAGACTGGGAGCTGGCTTCAACCACTGGGCGCTTGGTCTAGGGGTATGATTTTCGCTTCGCACTTCCATCCAGGAACGCGATCTCACTGTGAAAGGTCGTGAGTTCAATTCTCACAGCGTCCAATCAATCCTTTTGATCAAACGGATCAGATTCGTCTTTTTGCAGGTTGGAGGCCGAGGATGTTGTTCTAACCGCGGTTGGTCTCAATTTCCGCAGTGTCCATTTCCTACGCTATTTTGGTTTCTTGTTCTCTTGATTAAATGCTTCTGTGTTCTTCAGTCTGTAGTGTTTGTTTATGACGGCATGAGGTTTGCTATATAGGCATCTCGACGCACACCGCTTTGCTATAAAAAAACGTAGGCAGGTAGTAGGCCATACGGTTTTCATCAGCATAGGTGGCGTAAGAGAAAATAATCCTGCTGCCACGCCATACTAATCGGTACAGCATCTCATGGCCATCTGTGTGCATCCGTTCACCATTACTCATGATCGATAGTTGAAGGGCCTAGGAGTAAGTAAGGCTTGGTACGGCAATGCATCCCAGGTTACGGGCGTTGAATCGTCTAGGCTATGTAAGTAAGGCCTTTTCCAAAACTGCTCTTATTCGATGTATATGTGTGCAACCATACTTGGTGCCCCCATTGTGACAGCGATCCAAAATTTCGACCAACTCAATCCTGGCTTAGATGCCGAGATCGTTGAGGTATGGATAGCTGGGTAAACCTACACTAACAGGCGTCAGGGACGAACCGGGCAGAAGACACACACCGATAAGTCCCACCAGGTGTAGGTGTGCTCGAACCGCTCTAGAACTGGCCGGCCACAAGTACCTTTTTGGTCTGCATAGGACGATCAGAGAGTCCCCAGCATCAAAACCATGTCTGGCTCTAGACTGTTGCTTGCAAATTGACTGGAGCTTCGTGCGATACTTTCCTCCGTCCCTGTTTGTCACAAGTCGCATACCCAATAGATGAACAAACACAAGACCTAGGCGCGGTAAATCAGGGTGATGGATGACACCGGAGGCCACTTCGCCCAGTTTTTTGTATCCCTGTCGGGAAAGCTGACATTCAGGGCAACAGGACCGTATCTAAAAATTGGTGTTTGACGTGTCTCTTAATCCTGTTCCAAAGGGTGTACACATCCGCACACGGTCATCTTCCCTCCACCGCTACGATTCCGAATGAGCAGAAATAGGCGATGGTTTTCATTGATGGGCTGCTTCTTGGATCCTGGTGAGAGGAACGACCATCCCATCTTCTCCAAGTCCTTTTCTCACTACTTCTGTTGCTGGAATGCGGATTCTGTTGGGTGCCAGCCCATCCTGTCGCGAGAGGGAGGTCCGGAAGCGACACGGTGGCCTTCTGGTTTGGCCTATTTCCACATTTACGAAAGCTTCGAGTTGCATATCGACATGCTCTACGCCACATGAGCGCCTGAGAACCCTGTTTGGCAGACACGGGAAGCATTCGTCTATTTGCACCGCCATGGACGTATCAGGGCACATTGGTTGAATTATCAGAGACCCTGGCCGGGTATACACCATGGGCTAAGAAGGTTGCTGCGACATGCCATGGCCTGGATTCCAAGACGCAGCTCGGATCATGGTCTCTTATTGATGAATATAATCGCTCTAAACCCCCATAAGCGGTCTAGTGCAGTTCACCCAGTAAATGTAATCACAGTACGTAAAACCCAATACGCGGCACCTCTGGCCTGCGCCGTATCTCAATATCTTAATGCAGTAAATAATACCCAATAACGTAGGGCAACTGCTGAATCCAACTTCACTTCAACCATGGCTGCATACGCGAACGACCTTTGGGCGCCGGAACGTTGGCGACAACGGGGTCGCTGCCGTGATTTGACGTACCGGCAACAATGGCACTGTTAAATCTACCATCAAGGTCGTGATGGCTTCGCGACGGGGTGACCAACTTGCAAGCCACGCGATGACTCCGAACTCTGCCACCAAGGTCGTCGTCGAAAACCTTGCGCCGTGAGTCACACTGAACGGAGATAGCTTCGCTCGCCAGCGACCTTACTGGCCGTGGCCAGATATACAAAAAGGCGGAAGCTGTCTCTAGGCTCGTCCTCCTTCCATCCCATCCATCTTCGCTGCGCTCACTATGCATATCACCAGCCCAAACCCATGGGGCCTTCCCCAGGCCGAGGGCCACTCTGCCCCTCAGGCAGCCTATCGGGACTTCGTCCGAACTGGCCCTAAGGCTAAAAAGCTTAGCTTCCGGGCCATCATTAACAGAGAGTTCGACTCTCTGTCCCTCACTGAGAGGGAGGCTGTCGGAACCTTTAGCCTAGAGCTTCTGGCCAAAGACCAGCCTAATAATGTACGGCGTCAGATCTTAGGCTTTAAGAGCCAGCCGGAATTTATCGACCGGCTGAGAAGTCCTCGCCTAGAGGACATCCCGTATTATGACGATGTCATAAAAGCGGCAGCCGAGGCCATCGAGGCCAATAACCAGTTAAATAGGGGACTGGCGAAACCATCGCATCGGCGATAGGTGAGTTTAGCTGTGATGCTGTGCTGTGACATGCTCGGGGCATTCGCTGACGGCGGCAGTGGTCGGATCCGTCGGATCGGGACGGCGCGGGGGTCTGACTCGGAGGACGGCGTTCTGGATGGCGGCTGGGTCGGCGGACTCTTGACGGAAAAGGGCTCGAATTGGCGGCGTTTGGCGGAGTGATTTATCTAGTCAAAAGGCCCCAAAGTGCAATATCAAACCTTGTTTCGGAACTTGAAAGTCACGTGCCCATTGACTGCTGATGTGACGAGGTCATTAACCCAACGTTGCCCAAGAGTTGAAGTCGTGCAACGGAGGTGCTGTTCGCTGGCAAATTGGCTGGCTGGTCGAAGTGGAAGTTGTTTTCGGCTGAAGTCGTACAATCGCGCGGTAAATGGCCATAAGCCCTCATGGTCTCTTATTGCTGCCATGAATTCATTAAACTTCGATGTTTATCAAGGTTGATTTTGTATCTCTGCAGTCAAGTATAAGACGTGCGCGGCCTCTCAAAGACTAGCAAGCAGCACATTGTTCCGAACTAACATCGCCGTCTTACCTATTGCTGTGCTCAAGCTCTCGTCAATTCAGCATGGTGGCCATTAAGTCTCTTCTGACGACCATCGTCCTGGTAGTCCATATCGCCAACGCCGAAGAAGCTGCCCTGGGAGACCAGCTTTCCCAGAGTCCTCCCAGGACCGCCACCGCAGAGCAGGGGTGCCACACCCCCTTCCTGGCGTTCAAGCAAGATAGTGTCCAGACGTTCTCTAACCTGTACTCGTATACCTTTACCGTCACCGAGTACATCTATACCACGCCGACGACCAGCACCATAACCTTTACACCAACCATACCCACCAACAGCGTTGGAACAATCACGTCGACCGTCACCACCACTACGCGTGTCTCCTCGTATAGCACCGTCACTGTCGAGACGCCGGTGGCGGGTTTCGTGCCCATCGCCCACAACATTGCCCGTGCTGACGATGCTTTTGGCCTCTTGGAGTCTCCAGAAAAAGCTCCCTACTCACCGACAAATGCGAATAGATACTTGGTCGAAAGTGTCAGCAGCGACAACGAAGGCGGACTCAGAACCAAGCCCCTCTTGAAGCCGCAGAGAGTTATCTGTGAGAAGGTCATCCGCGTCTTCACAACCTTTACTTCCACAATCACGGCAACTTGGGCCGCGACTGCGACGACAACCCTTCCGGGCCCGAGCCAGCAGACGACGGTGACGACGACAATGACGACGACCTCTACGATCACCGAGGTGGGCGCCGACCCCACGCGGACCGTGTACGAGGCTTGCCAGACCAACAATGTACAGGCGTACCACGGCCAGCCGAAGTCGTACTTCGCCGAGGCACTCAGCAACTACCGCATCACCCACGATGTGCGCCACACGGACACTCCCGAGAACTGCTGCATCGCATGCCAGACGACGTTTGACTGCGAAGGAAGCCTGTACCACCAATCATCCGGAACTTGCCGCCTTTACAGGCCCAATAACGAACGGTCCAAGTGTAGCTCCTCGCTGGTGCTGCGTTCTAAGACCAACATCAGCATGGACGGCGTATTTTGGGCCAGCAACGGCAGATGTGGAAGGTGGGGGATTAGTGATGTTGAGCCGGGCTCACCTCTACCGTATTCGTCCTTGCATGGTGTTTCCACGGATGATAAATGGTGAGCAAGATTGTTCCACGTCTGGCCGCGGCGATTTCCTGATGTGGAAGGTGGAGATGGAAAGCGAGTGCGAGAAGTCCTCGTTACATACCTACCTATATATGTATGTATGTACGTGTGTAGGTAGCATTGAACATCGTCGGCCTAGAAAAGTTAAAAGCCTGATGCTGGTATCCGTAGTATAGATTCTATACCTACCACCTATGAATGTACATGTATAAAGTGCGACTCGGGTTCGGAATGCCCTACATAACCCCAGGCAGGGCCTTAAGGGTCTGACGTCCGTGGGGATTGCATTGCGCCTTGTTGCCAGCCACCCCGTCTGACTCAGTGCGGAAGATGTAGTGTAGAGTTCTTGACGTGCCATGCCCTGCCACGCCATGCCATGCGGCTTCCCGCTCTCTCCACTCTAGGGCGATCGACAAGTCTAAGCTTCCTTCCAAGAGCAGCGGAGACAGCACCGGCGACTACATGCAAACCATCTCTTTTACACGGTACGGCATCCCGTTGTCTTTCACCCAATGATGCGTGCGTATCGGACATGTGCAGATATCTCTTCTTGCCTGGCACACCCACCGGCGCGGCACCAGGAGCCCCGAAGGCCTTGGACGTAAGTAAGCGCCAAGTCAGCCCGGCGGCACACGAAAGAAGCCAATGGATACCTCCCATACGGGTGTGGGAGTGAGCAGAGCTGCGCGCGGCTGAGTTCTCGCGTCTCGACAGCGAATCGTCATCCGCCCCGTCGAGGTAATGCTCGGCGTCATCGAATGGGCTGGGCGAGCACAGCACCAAGCCCCTGGGATCCGGCCATCAGGCCCCCCCCCCCCCCCCCCTGTCGTGTACCTACCTATGGGGTTTCCATTGATATTGCACTTCCAGCCTAGCCCCCTCGCCACGCGCTCAGCAGTGACAGCGACGTT